TCTATTACTGGGACAGTGAACCCTTGCCCACTTGTGAAATCCAATTTCTTCTAGATATGGTACCACATGAGGATTCAACTTATTTATTTGTGCTATATGCTTATCGAACTCCTCTAATGTATAGGTCTTCGCTGCTGCATAAAACTTCTCCTTTACTGTCTGTGCTTCTGTCTTATAACGCATCTTCAATTTGTTTGAGATGTGATATGTGCAAAGACAATGCGCCGCATTAGGGAATACCTATATATATTAATTATAAGATTTCAGATATATGCAAAGCAACTAATAAAATCCATTTCAAATTACGAATTTATAAAGATAAATTATTTTACATAGAAAAAAGAACCTAAAATGTTACTGAACATATACTACTAGCTGGAGAAGATATTATATTTCAAAAAAATAAATAAATAAATACCGCTGGTGAATATATTATATGTCATAGAAAAAATTACCCAACTCTTACTAAAAATATACCAATTACTGGAAGATATTATATTTCTGTGGGAAAAAATAATATGGAGAAGATATACTCAACTTTTACTAAAAATGTACTATCCAATAACCGTAATTATATGTCACAAAAAAACAATACCCAACGGTTACTAAAAGTGTACTACTTGCTTGTGAAGATATTATATTTCATAAGAAAAAGCTGGAGAAGATATACTAATACCTTTTGTAATGCGTGCCTTATGCTTTCGTGACCATCTGAGACAATGCAAAGACCCTCTCTATCACCAACTACTTCTTGCAATTTGGTGAAAAACCAGATGTAGGAGTTGTTATTTTCGGAGTCAACAACGCTAAATGCAAGCGGTAATATATGAGAATTTGCATCTTGACAAGAGGCTGTCAATAAAATTCCTCCATACACCGATGACAAAAATGTCCCATCGACAATAACGATTGGCCGACAATGTACCCATCCTTTTACAGATGCACCGAGTGCCATGAAAACGTACATGAAATTTTTATCCCATGTGGTGCGCATCAGCACAATGCTACCCGGGTTTGATGCACGTACCTTACTAAGATATTGATGAGCATAATCGTATAACTCATCAACCTTGCCACGAACTTCATCAACAGCTTTGCGTTTCGACCTCCATGCTTTGTGATATGTCAAGTTTATCCAAACTGATTTTGCATGTCGTCAATGATATCACCCGGATTATATGCAATTTTATTGTTAGTGAATTTTGTCTTGATGAAACTACTAACAAGGGTTGATGTCGCCTGTCTCTGATTACTAGTACACACATCCAAAGCACATATATGTTCAGTCCCCACGTGTCTTATCTTAAAAGTGTTTGACCGACCCATACGTGAAGCTTTCACAAACCATGTACAATCGCTCGAGACACACCTGACATAATATTAAAAGTGTTAGATAAAATAGAATCTAAGTTAGATATAACATAAAATAACTTATATATACCAGTATAAGTTAGATAAAACAGAATATAACATAGATATACCAGAATAAGTTAGATATAACATAATATAACTTAGATATACCAGAATACTAATCGCTCGAGACATATCTGACATAATATTGTTTGGAGCATGACTTGTCAACCTTGAATTGATACTGATGCTTTATAGCATGCATGGTCAGCATCGTCTGTAACTTTTCATTATCCTTTAGTAAAATACCGGGAACAATACCAGAGTCAAAATTTTGCTCGTCTGTCAACCGAATTTCAGATCCAGGGTATATGTCCAGTATATTTTCGGTATATGTTTCCACTTCTACCATCTCTTCAGCCACGTTCCTCGCGTACGACAAGAAATTTATCGTGCCATCTGATTTATCAGGATATCTGCCAAGCTCCGGATAAAACAATGGAGCAATGTTTGATTCGCAATTCAACGAACCTATATTCACTTCTTCATCAAACGAATTTTCAACACTACTCCGAGATTTCACCACAACTCACACCAGATATTTCGTGTAGTCAGCTTCTTTGGACACCAAAAACACATAGAAGCTAAGGCTGCTATCGTTGTTTATCGACATTAGTGGACTACCTTTCTTCAACTTATATTTTAGGTCAAGTATAGTTGATTGACGTATCAACCCTAGCTCCTCACATAATATACCGCATAATTCGTTGTAGCTGCATTCTTTTCGAACTACAACACCAGATAGTTGGTAATTTACGTAATCATTCATGACCCATTCACCCCCATGATGTATGAAGATCATCATATTCGGATCCATCTGGAAATGAAAAATAAAAAAATAAAAAATGAAAAGTGCACATGAGAACATACATATACCATCGGTAGTAAAAAGTCAACATCTTTTACGAATTCACATAAATATACCTCCAAGTATCACGAAAATATACCTCCAAATATCTGTTGGGTACACTATTTTTATCTCGTTCTTCAGTGTTTTGTTGCGTGATGAGTTCACACGGAAAATCCGATCGCCGCCGCACTTTATTTTTAATTTTTTTATTTTCTGTAAACACAGCTCGTGATTCAGAAAAATCTGCTCGCCGACGTGTTTCCTTTCTCTTTTTCGCCTGTTTCAACGATGATTATGCATTTAAAATTCAAATATAATATCTTTTCCATATTGAAATCCTGAAATTATGTCCCTACAAATATGGATGTTGTTCATCTTAACCGTTACTGTTTTTTAGGCATGTATATAATTACTTTATATCACTTAGGTATATACACAAATTTTTTGGTTTTAATGGTAATGTTGCAATTACTTAAAAAAGGGTAAGTACAGATAAAAATTTCCCTAAATTATTTGTAAAACTTCTTGTTTGATGTTTCAGTCACATGCTTTGTATTTTACTATTTTTATAATTTATTAAAGCCTAATACACTCTTAGCCCAAAAAATTAAAAATACCCATGTATTATTGTATTTGGCCCAGCCACCCAAACTGTCAAATGTGAGAAGGCAAAGACATTGATTAAGAAATATTGTATCATGGCCAATTGATTACTGGCACAATTCTCTCTTCCAGAATGCTTGATTAGTTGATTGCAGCTTTGAGCCTTGCTGGTATGGAATCAGAGTTCTTTTTAAAAGTGAAATAGTGAATCAGTTTGAAGTTTGAACATTTTTTCTTTTGATCTGTTTTGTCCCGATCCCAAACCGTTTGTCCCGGCCCCGATTGATACCGATCCATTTGTGACGGTGTCTCGTCCCGGACCGTTCCCAGACCTGTTCAAAAAAATGGGACAGATACCGGGATAGGTCAAATCCTAGACCGCGCCCACCCCTACCAACGGAACTCCCCCATACATATCTTATAGTCCTTAGTAACAGGTCCAAACCCTCCAACCAG